GTTTGATTTCCGTTAACGCGAATAATGAACAAAAATAAAAATGTGTTTTTATTCGTTCAATAATAATCAAAACGTTTTTCATCGTATGTTCATAATTATTAATTAAATTGGCTTTCGTTCTCGTTTTCATTTCCATAGAATAGACCGAAACATTTATTTTTATACGTCGCTGAGTCCCTCGGCGTCATAAAATCAACATTAGTGTAACTTTCTTTTCCAAGTACGTTTTTATTCTAAATAAGATTTTTAAAAAATAATAAAAACAGAAATATGTACGTCATATTTATAGTTGTGGTATGGTTCTGTTGTTGTCAGTTCGGACTTTTAACGACCACAAAAAAGTGGCTCATATTGTCAACAGCATAACCGTCTTATTACCACAAAAAACTGTTCATGAGTGGTCCGTGTGAGTTCAGCCCAACTCAGCAACATAACCTGCACTATCTCGGAGTGTCCGGAACAAAATAAAAAACAATACCATTGTTAATGAAATCGCATGGAGTGTGCCCTAACCACCATTGGTGAATAGGTGTTCAAAATGCTGCGTTTTATTCTTGAACAATTATGTACTAATATTAAACATTATAAGGCTGTTGAAGATGAATAAGTTAGTGTACTTTAAAACTATGTTCACTGGATTTCGTATAAAACGAGGACGTATTAAGTGTAAAACAAAATGTAATTCATCCCGTGAGTCGAAGGTCCAGAAGAAAAAAATATGGATTAATTCTGTGATAAGTCTAATTAATTATTTTATAAATTTGTAATAAATTTCCAAAATGGAAAAGAAAATTTACAGTTTTTCAAAATTATTCGTCTTTTCTACATCGTATTTTTCACATTGTTTAACATTTTAACCAAAATAGGTGCACTTTATTTATTTGACATTATCAGAAGTCTATGAAAAAAAAAAAAAAACATAAAAATATATAGTACATTAATGAGCTTTAAATGATAATAATTATGGAAAAAAAAGTAGAAAAAATAACGACATTTTGACTCGATTGAATTACAATAAATTATAAAAACTAAAATAACTGATAATTCGTAATGAAATTATCATTCATCGATTAAAAAAATAAAAAAAATAATTGTTCGATTACCTTAGTATAGTACGAACCTGTATATTACACCGTTTGACGGACGTTTTTCAGTCGATAAATTAAAAAAAATATTCTGCGAAATGGGTTTATTTTTCAATTAAATTTCACGCGTAAAAGCTCGAAACGAGCGCAATAATTGATTTATTGCGATGTAAAAGTTATCTATTATTCAACACTACCACATCGGAATACTTTCGAGAGGCGAAAATTCGATGTTCGAAAGGAAAATCTTAAAAGACAAATTCGCCTCATCGATATTAATTAACATATCAATTATACTGAATTCAAAACGCTTAAAATGTTATTCGATCAACGGAGGACCCGTAGTCTACATGACGACTGTACAATGCCATGCAGATACTCCCCCCCCCCCCCCCCCCCAAAAAAATAAAAAAATAAAACCATTGTAAATAACTGCGTTTTCTTCTTTGCTCCGGGTGTTGCGTTGAAACTGTTATCATGGATCGACTCGAACGATTAATGCTTTGCACACAATCGCGATCCATTGCAATGTAGTTTACTCGACGATGTTTTGTTATTATCGTTTGCACCGAGCGCGGTTCGATCCTACGCGATCCTTTGAATACGTTTCCACTTCGTTTGATGGCAAATATTTAAAACACCCGCTGCTCCTTACAGTGCTCCTCGCTGTAATACGCGCGAAATCTTTCTTGAATGGAATCGGTCTCGAAAATAACCACCGCTAATAGAATCGCGGCTTAATTTTTACTCTCTTTATCACCCCTCATCTATACCAATAAATTAACTTTTGTGCCGGAAGACGGTTTTTATTTTATTTTTGATCAATAATCGTTTTCAATGGGCGTAAAATATTTTTGAACTATCTCACCGAGGTCCTCGAACCACAACCCAAACACCGCACTGTAAGAACATCGATAAGATTATTGTACATGTTTTTTACGAAACATTGCCTAGGAAAATGTCCAATGCACAAGTCTTATGTAAATTAAGTCTACGAAGTATGTGAAATCGCGCAGTGTTATTATTTCCCGATAGAGGCACATTTGTGTTTCCGCGAGTGATTTTTTTACTCTATTAGTTGTTTTTCACGGTAGACATTCGATCGGGATAATACTTGTTTATTTTATTAACAGTAAACTTTCATTTTTATCGTTAACATTTTTAACGATCGTATAACAGGTAATGATTTTTTTTTTATATCAATACTTCATCGAGCTATTATTTCAATGGTTAAATTTTTTTTCTCCTCTCCAAAAACTATTAACCATCATTACGTCATAACAGGAGATAAACTGCAACACGAGTTCTATGTATATTAATATTATTTTTCGACTCGCAGAGCAATAGAATATTGTCGGAGATAAAGTCAACCGTATTATTGCAACGACTAAATAATAATAATGGCATTACGGTTGCCGTCGTCGAACGTTCACGCGTCGCGCCCTGTACACGCGTGTACCTACACTATAAGAATTCGATTTTCCGATTAAATTTCGCTCTTAATGTTCATCCGGTTAAATGGTGACGTTGTTCTTGACGCCAGCGATGTTTAATGCAATAACGTCGACACCGGATTGCACGGTAACGTAAACGGATTTTCGTAATAAATATAAAAAAAAAATAAATATATGTTTGTAAAACGAATAGCGGTGCGGATTACGCTAAGCTCGATGCGTCGGTCGGTGTACATTTGTGTACGCGTTTAAAACGGTCCGATCTGATTATTATAACACGATTATCGCTGGTGGTAACTGGTCGGTTCGCGTGTCGTGCACAGGCGGATTTGACGGTAATGTTGTGTACACGCCACGACGTTTGGCACACACGGTGACATGATCGATTATGATATTATTATGTGAACGCGACGAGACCACAAACGAAAACATCAAAATGATTAGTGGTGTTTTAATCCGCATCCCCGTCATGGTTGAAAACATCCATTTAGCGCGGAAACATTTTTTTCGACTGGTTCCGAAACGAACGATCGAACATCGACAATTATGTCATGGAAATTTGATTTCCACCGTAAAAGAACCAGAAAAACGGTAAATAGCTCTTGGCGTGTTACACAAATGGTTTTATTATTGGTACGATTTCCGATACAAAAAAAAAGATCAAAATCAGATTTTCGCTTTGACACGTTTTACATTTTTTTTTTTTTTTCTAAACACAACAGTCAAAATAATGAATACAGTGGTATTCGTGGTGAAAATCGGGACGATTCCAATTAAAGTACCAAGCGAGTTACATCAAAGCCAACTCATTCGGACAACGATAAAGTGATACGTTTGATAGTAAATGAAATTCGAGAAAATGTTTTTTTTAGTTTTTTTACTTCTATTGCATTCTACTATATATTTATAGAATCGAACGAAACGACTCACGATGTAAGTCGAGCACACATGGTCGCTGCAAATGGATGTTTTTTTCTCTAGAAAACTTCGTCGATAACATGATTGTTTCTATTAGTTATAGTTATCGGATGTAAAATGACGGTCAGATATCGCAGATCTTGTAAATTAAAATAGACGATTATAATTCAGTAAAATAGGTAATCATTAAATGTTGAGGCAACCTCAATGAAAAAATATGAAGAACAATTAATGTTAAGTTAAAAATCTTTTTACTAGAATAACATAATGTGTCGTGCTGTAGTACAATGGTAGAAAATACGAAAAACGCGTCAAAACCTCATTATTAAATGTTACACTTTATTCGATGAGTTAAATATTGTTGTAGACAAAAATCTATCGTTAAGTTTTAAAGAAAACGTTAAGCGAGTTAAAATCCACACATTAGAAGTCGATAAAATTTACTAAAATTGATGTAAAATATATTGTATTAAAACGAACAACGATAGTCAGGGACGTATTTAGGGGGAATGAGGGGTTACCATCGACCTGGGCAGCATTTTTTTCGTAACCATAATCCATCATCCGTGTTTTATTTTCATGAAAATATTATCATAAGTTGACCGCGTAAAATCCATAGATAATAAATATTATATTTTTTGAAAAATCGTATAAAACGAGCTGAGACAAAAAAAGGTGGTTTCTTGGAGGCTCTAGTATTCGTACGACATATTTTTCTATTTTACATAAATCATATTACAAATCATTGAATCCTATGAAAAGCGCGAGGACTTAAAAATGGCGGATTACCGAGCAACTGTTCCTGTCCATCCATCGTATACGATGTTCGACGAGATTAAAGGTTATTGACGTTAGCGACGGTATCCGTAAACGAGCAGCTCCCGTGAGTTCCGATAAGTCGGCTGTTCAGCTTTGTCGGCACCTGTATTGCACACGCCGACTCGCGGTGAACCAACTAGTCGGGGATGTTGCGAATCGAAATATTTCCACCAAGAGTACGGTGCGGCAAGTACATTGGCGTTCTACGCTTTTCAAATTTGACCAAATGCGTTCCGCGGCTTCCTACTCCGCCACGGACTCCGCTCAAAGGCGTAGATATTTTTAAAGCGAGAAAACAAAAACAAAACAAATAAACAAACGAACAGAAACTCCGGGTACACCGCCACCACCGTAGTACGTGCGCCCGGTCGAAACATCGGGGGCGACGATAACGCGTGCTACGGATGGTTTCGCGTCGCCGGTGACGTGATTAATCGGTCGGCGGCAATATTTACACACTCGGTGAACGGTTTACGGGCGGCGCGGACTGACGGGCAATTAGTGGTATAGGTTTTTAAGAGCCAACAACGAACGGCGGCGGAGTGAGCGCGCGCACTCGCATCAGCCTCGTGTTAAACGTGTGTACGGTGAACACGCACTCGAGGCACCCCGAGGACACCAGTGGAGGGTCGCGCAAGAAATGGGTGGGCGGTGCCTTCCGCGGTGGGGGACGCGACCCTTCCGCAGGGTCGGCGTGGTGCGGATCTCCGGCCGCCGGCAGACAGTCAGTCGCCGCGCACCCTCGTCCCGAAGACCTCAACGCTGGTCGCCTTCGTGCACGCGCGCAAAACGTCCAACCGAGACGCGATCCTCCACGTACGTTTCGGATCCGTGTAGTTTTTTTTTCCTTTTTTTCTCCGGTCGACCATGGACGGCACGCGCGGTTCTCCCGTCACCGTGACCGCCACCAAGAAGACCATGTCCCGGTCGTTCCTGATCGATTCGCTCATAGGTGGCGTCAAGCATCCCATCGCCGGCGCCGCGACCGCGGCCGCGGTGCCCTATCATCCGCAGCTCAACGAGTACATTCAGTTCCTGAACAGGACGGCAGCGGCGGCCGCGGCATACGGCGGCTATCAGTCTCCGGCGTCCGTCGTGTTCCCGTCATCCCCTTCCGCGATCGCCGCAGGACCGCGGATTTTCGGTTACCCGGTGGTCAGCGGTGGCGGCGGCGGCGGAATCGCCAGGGATCAACAGCACCACCACAAGCATCAACCGGTCGTCAAGCCCGTGGCTGTCGTGGCCACGGGACATCGGACCAAGCACGCCAAGACGTCCACCGCCAAGAAACGAAACGTCGACGAGATGATGTCTTACGGATCACCGGGTAAGTTGACCACTTTAAAAATCCTATGCCTTGATCGACCCTTTCCGGTCACCCTGATCCGCCATCGAAAAGTCAACTATTTTTTTTTTACACACGTTCGCTCGAATTTACGTGTCAATCGTTGATTACGTGTTCACTAATTTTTGTCGGGTATCGGTTTCGGGCACATTAGTCAAACCAAAACTGAATCGTGATAAATACTATTGTCGTTATTACTATCATACAATAATGTTTCATTCCATTGAACCATAAAATATACTAGTCATTGCGATTGAAAATAAGACATAATTTTACTATCAGCACGTGATAAAAATCAACTTTTTTTTAGTGGTTAGGTATACTTATGATCTTATTATTTTAAAATCTCAAATTTTCATTAAACGATTTTAGTTCAATTCGTATCGTGATCTTACTATAATGTTTACGAATATTTTTTTGAACTCGAAAACAACCAAAGTTAATTACTATTGCTCCACCTCTTCTTATGCTAAACTTTAACACTTACCGAATTTGTTTTTTTGCCGTTTGCTAAAATTATTGACCAATTATTTTTGTAGTTAAATTGTGAAAATAAACGTTTACATTTTTTTTTTCAATGCGATTCGAAGATTATTTATCCAGGAAAACCATCCTTTATCGTAACAATTCCCTTTGTTGGACAGTTTAGTAAAATCACGAATTAAACAAGCCAGTACTTACTCGATCCGTGCATTAATAATATTAATAATTTGTCCATATCGTACAATTCTACAGAAACGTAATCATATATTTTCGTTTTCAAGTGGTGTGAGAAAAAACTTACCAAGTCTAACGCTGGAGCTAAAACTAGAGCTCCTCGTTTCTGTCGGTGTTTAAACATGGGTGGCGGGAGGTGAAGAGTACGGGATAAATTTCGAAATTTCGAAACGGTACGTTGAAAAATGTCTAAGCGTTCGAAAAAACCCTCACAGCGCGTGAAACAAAACCTTGCGGTTAGACCGTATGACCGTTTTTCGGCAACCGAGACGATCGTGCCAAACCCAGGTAAAACATTATTTCGTACGTTCGTTACAACATTTTATGCTACACGAATCCGTACGATTTCACCTGAGTTTTAACTACACGATTGGGTACGAATTTTTAAGCGTAAATGCCAATTTTCATACCGGAATTTGTGTATACTACATGCTTGTACGAGTGAACTTGAAAAAGTTTATATGTACTTTGTGTTTTATTATTTTTATTATCTATGTTTATTGTTAATGATATTTAAATCGTTATTTTCGTTATATTATACGGTATTATCCGAGTTTCAGCAAAAGTAGTAGGTTATAGATGTCAGGGAATCCAAATTTAAGCATTTTCAAATAATTTATCAACAATAATTTCGTTAAAATAAAAATTGTTGATTTTATTTATTTATCAATCACTTTTCTTTTATTTAGTTATCCTTATTTTATTTATTATTTTATTATTAATTTGTTTTATGAACTATTATAGAACTGTTAGTACACATGTATTTTATATTTAATTTATTTTATATATAATACGGTGAAATTAGTAAATTTGACAACGTTGCATACAATTTTCTTACGCGATCGTTTTTATTTATTTTTCTTACCTACCTTTTTGTTACCCATCTACAAACGTACATAATCTCCTTCTACCCCCGACCGACCGACCGATCGGAGAACTTGAGCACTTATCGGTCGGGACAGATGTCGTTATTGGTCGCATCACAACCGGTATTCTCTAACACACGCTTTTTTCCCATTTCGTTGCAGAGCACACCGGCGGCAGCAGCGCAATTCAGGCGGATCCGCTGCGCGAGAACGGCGAGAGCGACACGGACTCGGGGAGCTCGAAGAGGATCAGGACCGCGTTCACCAGTAACCAGCTGCTGGAGCTGGAACGCGAGTTCTCTAGCAACATGTACCTGTCGCGGCTGAGGCGCATAGAGATCGCCAACTGCCTGCGGCTGTCCGAGAAACAGGTGAAGATCTGGTTCCAGAACCGGCGGGTCAAGCACAAGAAGGAGGACGGACCGGCCGCCGGTTCGCCGTCCACCACCGCGTCCTCGTCGTCCTGCTGCAACTGTTCCAAGTCGTGTCACCTGCGCGCGTCCCCAGCGCCCGAAACCGGTGCCGGGTGCCGGCGGCCCGATGACGACGACGACGACGACGACCGCGGCCGCTGTGATCGGTTCTAACCGCCGGTAACGTCCGGGCGTCGGCTGGATACCGCAGGAGACCGCAACGGCAGAAGAGCGACGAACGGCTGTGACGGACAACGCGCGGCTTACGCGAAAGTCCACGGGGACGCGGCCAGACGGTTCTGCGCGTCCTGCGGTTTGAACGAACGAAACGTTCACTACGGATTGTTATCCGTTAGACCGTATTATATGCTTTTGTGTAAATAATGTAAATGTTCATTACGTTTACCGGGTGCGCATTGCACCCGTGTACGCGTATAATTATTACGATTGAAATATAAATACAAATTTTAATTTTTAACCGTTTTTCTTATTTGTTTTGTGTGTATGTATTACTTATCTTGATGTTACACGATACGAGTTGACCGAAGTGTGTCGATGGGTTTGTATTTTGGGGCATACGTAAACTGCGTCCAAATGATATTTTTTATTTGTAAACTGCGCCCGAATTTTTATCTATGTTAAAAAGGTATAATGTAAACTGCGCCCGACTAATTAACTTATTAAATTTTGACTTATTAAAGTCTCTATGTACGTCGATTTCATCTAGCAAAGTCTTGGAATAAAAGTAACCAACAAAATGGTTTAAGTAATGACTATAAAAATAAAAATAGTGATATTTGAAGATGGTTAGTTCAATGTTACGGTTTACCATTTCTAAGTTCAGGAAGTGCATCTGAGTATTTTGTCAATTATTTAATAAAATCAAAGACTGACGACGAAAGGGTGACACGATTTGCGAATTATTTGGTAGTCGTAATTATAAGAGAAGAAGCTCAGTATTCACCTGAAGTATGGGCTTAAGTATCAGCAGAATCAACTTTAACTACAAACGCATACGAGTGTTTTCATTCTTACTTTAATTCCAGCTTTTATACAACTCATCCAAATATTTTCATATTCATAGAAGAGTTAGAAGAAATTCAAATAGAAGTATATATTAAACTAAATAGTATAAATGAACCGTTTAAATTCCAAAACTCTAAAACAAAAAAAAAAAAAAACTTAGAAAATTTAATTAATAATTATAATAGTGGTCTAATTCCAATTGAGGAATATGTATCCACCATATGTTATTATTTGTAATATTTGTATTTATTTTGCTTTTTAAAAATATATGTTTTTTAATTATTTATATTATATGGCTGTAACGAATTAAGTATTTTACCCGGGCGCAGTTTAAATGTCACCTTTTTACACTTGATAAGAACTCGGGCGCAATTTACATGTGTGATTTTGTGTGTTACCTGTATTTTGGGCGCAGTTTACAATCGCCGGTGTTTTGCGTGATACGAAAACGGACGAAATGCGCGCGAATATCACATTCGTCGCAAAAAAACCGAAATCGAAAAGCTAACTGTACTGTTCAAACAGTTTAGGTGTTTCGAACGGAAAGGTTTAATCGATTTGAATCAACGATTGCAAAAACGTCACAAGTTACCTATTTAAAAGTATTAATCATGTGTTTCTACGCGTTGAGTGTATAAACATTGATCATTATTATTTATTTATCCGATAAAAAAAGTAGAACTTTTTACATTCAACGCATAGAAACACATGACAAGTGATTTACTGATATCTCAATTTTATAAAATATGTGACTCGTGACGTTTCCCTAATCGTCAACTAATTTCTAGTCTGCACAACGGGTAAGTATAGAATACGTCGGAGAGTTTACTTTTTTCGACTGTTAAACAATAAAAATGATTCTATTTTCATTACGATGTTGTATTTTTTATGTCTGTATATGTATACAGACATATAGGAAATATATATATATATATAGGAAATATGTATTTCCTATTGTAATATGTATAACACAAGTGTATAGATATAGGTATAAAAGGAGATAGTAAAATATGTGATATAGACGTTCGATTTAAACATAAAAAATATTTTTCGCATAGTCCTTATAAAGATTGTAAATGTTATGACTAGGGTTCAGAAGTTATAGGAGCCAAAAATGCAAAATATGCACGAAAAAATCATAAAATATGCATAAAGAAATGTGAAATATACAAAAAAAAATAAATATATTTATTTATTAAAAGTAAATTGGTAAATTCTAAAGACCATTATTTAAAAAAACTGTATTATTTAAAAAAATACGGCGTATAACCGGTTGGCATTTGAGATTTTATTGAACCGAAAAAATAGTTAACCAAACATATGCAGTTATGCATATAACTTTTATTTAGATTGGCCAAAAAAACCGGATGCCATAAAGTACACCATTTCTTAGGAACTCAGATATATAACTTAATGCCTAGTCATATAGCTAATATGCCTTTACCTGCTTTTAAAAAACATATTTCCCATTGGCTCCAATATGAATATAGTGTGGGTAAAATTTAAAATGTATAAACCATTCAATATCTAATTCATAACCCAATATCATATAATATTATAGTATTCTATTATGTCTTACATCTCTCATGTTATATTTTCTTTTTAAGAATACTGTAAACTCAGATAACCCTGGGTCTCCACACGAATTTTCTCAGTGAAGCCCAGTAATCTTTTTGATTTCGAATAAAAGTAAAAAAATAAATAAAAACATTTATTTTTCATTATTTGTGAAATACGTAATAAATGTATGTTGTATAATACCTGTTAAGTTGTTGCATTGAACCATCAATATTTTCGTTAAATTCGTAGTAGACATTAAAAATAACAATAAATAACCACGAAAAATAATATTGAGTTTTATGTGATGCACGTTTTCCGCGTTATTAGCCTTGTGTGATGTAACATAATTTAATCATTAATACAAATAATTGGATATCCTTAGAAATTACGATTTATTATTTAAATAAATTCTTTTTTTGCGCGTACTCACCCGGTTAATATAAATATTTTACAATAGGCAATCAAACGATAGTTCATTTAATGCGGTATATACTATTTTAGTTGTTTAGAGCGGCAATTTTTCACAGGCCCGCACTAGGGAAACACTCCCCTGCGGCCAACACCGTATTGTCGTGCACGTGCGACGGTATTATTGTTCGGCGAGCTGTAGCCCGTAGCTGCTGGGAAACGACCGACGACATGTTCGTTGGAAATTTCGATTTGGCCGCCTAGTCGCTGCCGGTCGCATTGTACTGTATCTGGTCATGCGAGGTTTCGTGTTTTCGAAATACGTTTTGCGCAATCGGAATGGATAACGCGCAGATGATATTTTATTCTAATTCATGGTCGGTACACAAAAGATTATTGCTTGGTCAAAAAGGTTATAAGCCAATTCATTTTTATGCATCGTAAATGAAATATATTTAACGGTGATTGAAAATTGTTGTGAATTTTTTTTTTGAAGAAGAAAAAAGAATAATTGATTGAAACGTAGATATTTTTAATTTATGATTATCGATCTCATACTTTTTTAAGCTATTCGTTGAGATGTTCTTTTCTTAAAAAAATAAAAAAAAAACTATTCGTGAATAAATTACGTTCTAATTACGTTTCTTGGTTTATGAGTAACGATTTACACTATTTTTGTATTAAGATATGCTTAATATCTGTGTTAATGTCTTAACGCTAAGTGTTAACATTTAAATAAATGAAAAACAAAAAAATAAACTTTCGTTATTTATTGATTAAAAATCTACTATCTATAAAATGAGTATGCACAATGAGTAGGTTTGGTAAGCGTCGAATATAAAAATATCAATGATTAATACATATATACTAACCTATGGGTTGGGGAAATCACCCAGCACGTGTGTTTATTGTATTGCTAGATGATAAAGCAAAAGGTCCCTACACGGTTTTATTTTGAGCCTGCGTTGTGGGTTACCGGGGAGCGTGTTCGTTGATGGTTAAGTGATTGGAGGGCTTCGTTATTTAATACTACGTTACGTACTATATTTCAAATTATGTTGACATTAAAATGAACTGTCGACAAGTACTTCATCTCTCCGACCTGATTTTTTTTGAAACATTACAAAATAACCGTTGTCAATCTGTCGAAAATAGAGTATCAATAAACAACTTTTTGGTATCACCGACATGAAATCCCTCATATTCTCTAAAACGATTTTATGGATGTTAATAAAATAAATAAAACAATTATGGGCTGCGTTGTGAAATGAATACAATTTTTTTTTTTACTCATAATTTAAAACAAAAAAACCACAACAAGCTATTGTTATTTTAACTTTGATCCTTGCACCCATTTTCAATTTGTGTTTTGCATTTTCGTCACATTCATAAAATATGAAATATATAATCAACTCACGGACATCGTCTAAATAATGACTTTTTTCTCAAATTTAAAAAAAAAATCAATACAACTATTTAATTCGAAGAATAGCCAATCAAGAACAACTTTTCAATATAAATATGGATTATAGTTATAGAAATAATAATTCTACAGTATTATTTTTTTTAATGAAAAATATAAATTGTTTTTGATCAATAAAAAGTGATACGAAAGAAGCTTTAAACTTTTCTGGTGTACAAATATCGAAATAGAAAATTGATTGGAAAACATGTTTTCGAGAAGAAGATAATAATCGGTTTTCTTTCAGCTCACGGGTAGAGATTATAAATAAATATTTTATACTCGTACTCATAGAGTTACAAAGATACACAATTATAGTTTGTATAAAAAAGGATATCCAACGGATTATGAATCGAGTTATGAACAGAAATTGAAACGTTAAGTAAAAGACACCAGAGGTGTTTAGCTCAAGCGTTTTGAATGGGGGAAAGTTGAAATAAGATACTGTTTATAAAATCTAAATGAAAATGTACAATTTTCGTTTCACAAAATATTTTTTAGATTTGACTTATACATTTTAAAACTATAAATCAGAAAACTAAATCAAGTTCGTGTGAATTTCTATAAGCCATTTTCTAATGTAAAATTAATTTCATAAATTAATTTGAAGGTCTTTTAGCTAATCAGGAGATATGTGTTATTTTAACCTAAGCATTTTTAACTAAACAATTTCAAATTTTGAAGAAGATACTTATCATTTTATATGAGATCAGAAATATCCACAAATATATATGTACTTAACTAACTTAGTTTATAAATCTGTGGATGAATCGTGTCTTAAAAACTATATTTCGGTGAAGCGGTAACCGGTGTAAAGTAGTAGTTAGGCGTGTTATCATTAAAATTAAAATCAAATAATACCGTTATATACACCTATCCACCTATCTTTAATCGCGATAATAACATGGCTAAAAAAATAAAAAGTGTTTAGAAAATTGATTGGTACCTGTCATATCGTCATTTGATATAAGTATATAAAAAATATAAATACAGATATGTAAAATTAATAAATATAACAATCA